TGGTCGGGTGCGCGACCGCTGGTCACTGCTACTATCTGGGCGACTCGGATAGTAGCCTGCCAGGAAATCCAAACCTTAGGTCCCCCACTGACCCCGTTCAATGGCCGTGCGGAGGTCTGTCCTGGTAGCCACCATAGAGCCGCCTGGAGACCAAGGCCATGATCCCACCATAGAGCCGCCTGGAGACCAAAGGCCGCCTGGAGACCAAGGCCACGATCCCCCGCCCATTTTTCTTGTTCCTCCTCCTCCTCCTTTTCCTCCTCCTCCTCCTCTTCATCCTCCGCCTCTTCCTCCTCCTCCTCTTCCCCCTCCTCGTCCTCCTGTCTCCTCCTCCTCCTCCTCTCCTCCGCCTTCTCCTCCTCTTTCTCCTCTTTCTCCTCCTCCATCCCTTTTCGTTACGAATCACTCATAGGCGGGTCGGGCTACTGTACCACCCTCATCCCTGGCAGATCTAGAATCTAAAGAACGGGAATGAGGATCCTAAAGAGGGAATTTGAAGGGATGGATTGTTACAGCAACGTTGATGAGTCTTGGGTTTACACTCTTCCTCCACCTCCTCCTCCTCCTCCTCCTCCTCCTCCTCCTCATCATCATCATCATCATCATCATCATCATCATCATCATCATCATCAGCATCATCATCATCATCATCATCATCATCATCATCATCATCATCATCATCATCATCATCATCATCATCATCATCATCATCATCATCATCATCAGCAGCAGCAGCAGCAGCATCATCATCATCATCATCATCATCATCATCATCATCATCCTGAGGAAACCCACAGATACCGATACCGTTACTCCCTTGACCTCTCCCAGGGTGCGCTCTAAAACGGATTTGGAGGCGAATCCAGCAGTGGCGACGAGAGCCTCCCAAGAGGTCCAAGAAAGGGGAACACGAGGAAGAGGTAGCGGTATGGGTACATTTTGTTTCTCCGATCCTCCTCCTTCGATCCTCCTCTTCCTCCTCCTCCTCCTGCTCCCCCTGCTCCTCCTCCTCCTCCTCCTCCTCCTCCTCCTCCTCCTCCTCCCCTCCTCCTCCTCCTCCTCCTCCTCCTCCTCCTCCTCCTCCTCCTCCTCCTCCTCCTCCTCCTCCTCCTCCTCCTCCTCCTCCTCCTCCCGCCCCCTTTTTGGCTCCCGCGCGCGGCCCCGTCGAGCGGAGTGGCCGCGCAAGAGCCGCAGGCTCGGCCGGCCTGCGCGCGCGCGCCCCGCGCGTGGGCCAGCTGGGCGGCCGCTCCGCCCCACAACGCGCTCTCTCCCGCAGCGCCGGCACGTCGTGCCCGGGTGCCCGTGTGCCCGGGTGCCCGGGCGTGCCTGGGGGTGCCCGGGTGCCCGGGCGCCCGGGTGCCGGGGTGCCCGGTAGCCCTATAACCCTATAGCCTTACAGCCCTGTAGCCCTATAGCCCTATAGCCATGTAGCCCTGTAGCCCTATAGCCCTATAGCCCTATAGCCCTATAGCCCTATAGCCCGATATCTCTATAGCCTTATAGCCATATAATCTGATAGCCCGATATGTCTATAGCCCTATAGTCCTATAGCCCCGTAGCCCTATATATAGCCCTAAAGCCCTATAGCCCCAGAACCTTATAGCCCTATAGCCTCATAACCCTAGAGCCCCATAGCCCTAAAACGATTCTGATTGGGGATTTTTTCCGGGCATCATGCGAATGATGATTATTAGGATTGTTCGCATTATTATCATTACTATTAATATTGGTGTTAATATCATTACTATCGTTAATAGTATCAGTATTATCGTTACTAGTAAGCTGATTGGTAGCATTGTCCCTATTACTACTAGCATTGGTAATATTAGTACTAATAGTATTGGTATTAGTAGTATTAATAGCATTAGTGTTATTATTGATATTCGCACTGTTGTTAGTATTGTTCTTAGCATTGGTATTACTAATAATATGATTCTGAGTAGTAGTACTACTAGTAGTGTTGTGAGTAGCAGTAATGAAATTACGATTGCTATTCGAATGAGTAGTATTATTAATTTCAATACTATCATTGCCAGTATTACTACTAATTGTTATTAATACTCATATTGTGGTTTGATTGTGATGATTCATATTACGAATGCCACTACTATTCTTATTATCAAGATTAGCTTTCTGAAAAAAATCTAGTACTCGTAATAGTAGTGATATGATTAGTATTAGTGTTATGACTCGTATTAGTATTATTAGTATTACTGATAATACTACGCTTATTACTATTAGTATTGTTATAATTATCCTCCTCCTCCTCCTCCTCCTCATCCTCCTGATTATTATGATTATTATTATTGTCATCCTCCTCCACTTCCACCTCATCCTCCTCCTCCTCCTCGTCCTCCTCCTCCTCCTCCTCCTCCTTCTCCTCCTCCTCCTCCTCCTCCTCCTTCTCATCCTCCTCCTCCTCTGGAACCTGGCGGAGCGCGCCAGGGGCGGCGCCAGGGGCTGCCCAAAGGGGGTCCAGCGCCGATCCAAGAAATCCGCGTGGACCTCCGACAAGTTATGTTTGTGCTGTTCTCTGGTTCATCTACGAGGGTCTTAGGTCGATCCCAGGGCGAGGTCTCATCACACTCAAAGACTTGCCTTGTGAGGTGTTTGTTGCTATTGTCACCTTCCTCTGTTGATGCTCCCCCCCCGAGGGGGAGGAGGAGGAAGAGGAGGAGAAGGAAAAGGAGAAAGAGGAGGAGGTGGAGAAGAAGGAGCTGCAGCAGCAGCAGCAGCAGCAAGACGAGGAGGAGGAGGACCATGCAAACCCGAGACGCATCAACCCAAACCCTCTTCATAGGTCCCTACAAAGAATCATGTTCACTGCTGGAAAGGTCCCATTGAAAGACAACCGTTTGAGAATCCGCAACCGTGAGAAAACACCACTCCTCGGATTTCTACGCCACGAATCAACTTTACGATCCGAGCCCTGACAATCCCATGTTCGTGCCGGAAAACCATTCCTGGTTTAGCAACCATGAGAATCCGTCAGCCTCTTCTAAACTTCGAAGACGATTGTGCGCGGCGTTTGCAAAGGAATGCGCGCAACGCTAAAGCAATGATAAACCGAATTTTGAAAACCACGCCCTCCATCCGCGAAGCTCTTGCGAATGTTTAAGACGAATGCGCGCGGCGTTAAGACGAGAACCACCATTAGAAAAGGAACCGCCCTCCATCCGTGAAGCTCTGGCAAGCTTTGAGGACGAATGTGCCTAGAGCGAATGGGCGAGCCGCATGTTGAGAAGGAACCGCCCTCCATCCGTGAAGCTCCTGCAAACTGTGAAGACGAATGTGCGCGGGGCAAAAACGAGAGCCACATGTTGAAAACCATCCGCCCTCCATGCGTAAAACTCCTGCGTTCGTTTAAGAAGAACGTGAGCGGCACCGACGCGAGATCCACATTGTGAAAACGACACCCCCATCCATCCGCGAAGCTTTTGCAAACTTGTAAAACGAAAGCGCGCAGCGCAAAAGCGAGAGCCACATTCTGAAAACGGCCCGCCCTCCATCCGTGAAGCTCCTGCATTTGTTTAAAATGAGTGTGAGCGGCACTGAGGCGAGACCCACAATTTGAAAACGACCATCCCCCGTCTGCGAAGCTTTTGCAAGCTTGTAAGACGAATGCGCGCAGCGCTTTGAAAACGGCCCGCCCAACATTCGTGAAGTCGTTGCCAAGTTAAGCTAAATGACCATTCATCGTGAGGTAATGTCTGGCGAAATGCCCGACCCGCCCTACCTATACGTCTCGGGGTGCGACATGGAGGAGTTGTTCATATGTAAAACGGGTTGGAGAGGAGGAAGAGGAGGAGGACGAGGAGGAGGAGGAGGAGGAGGACAGAGAAGAGGATGAAGAGGACCAATGCAAACAAACAATTGATCAACGATGTCGCAATAAACCCTTCCTCCAAATTCCCTCACAAGCTCCTGTAAAGAGCTCTCGGAACTGCGGGATGAGCCCCGTTAGAGGACAACTGTGTGAAAAAGATCAACCGTGCCGAAACACATTGCTGGAACTTCAACGCCGCGGATCAATTTTCATGTGGCGATCTGACGATCCTAAGTCGTGCCAGGACACCATTTATAGGACGTCGGTACCGCGAATCAACGTGCAGTCGCGCCCTGGCAATCCTAAGCCAAAACACCACTTCTGGGACGTCAACTTTAAGAAACCTTGAAACTGCTGTAGCCTGTCAAAACGAATGCGCGCGGCGCAAAGGCGAGAACCACATGTTGAAAAGGAGCCGCCCCCCCATCCGTGAACCTGCTGCAAACTTGTAATCAAGTCGAATGCGCGCGGCGCGGAGGCGAGAGCCACATCTTGAGAACGGCCTGCCCTCCATCTTTGAGACTCCTGCAAGAGTTCAAAGACGAATGTGCGGCGGCACCACGGCGAGACCCGCATTTTGAAAACCGCCCGCCTTCCATCGGTGAAGCTCTTGCAGAAACCACGCCTGCGGCTCCTAAATGGCGAGGAGGTCTCGGGCGAAACGCCCAGCCCGCCCTACTGATACGTTTCGGGCTGCGACAGGGAGGATGTATTTGTAAGGGAGATTGAGGAGGAGGAGGAGGAGGAGGAGGAGGAGGAGGATGAGGAGGAGGAGGGCGAGTTCCCACCGCTCCTCACACTTCGTCACGAACAGCGCCCGCCCCCACGTCATGGGTGTCTCGAGCGGACCAAAAAGTTGGGGCACCACTCGGGGATGTACGATGGGGGGCGCCAATCCTCGACAGGGGTGCGCCCGAGTGGCCCCGAATTCCCATTATTTTCTGAGCGGGTTGATTAGTCGTGGGACAGTCGGAGCTTGTGGGGCGAACGCGCAGGAGGAGAAGGAGGTGGAGCAGGAGGAGCAGGAGGAGCAGGAGGAGCAGGATCCCCACGGGGGATCGAGGAGGGGGAATCGAGAAGGATGCTCGAGGAGGAGAGCGCTCCTGCGAGGAGGATCGAGAAGGAGGGGGATCGATGAGGCAGATCGAGGCGGCGGATCGAGGACGATCGAGGA